GCCCAGCCATGGGCACAAAGGCCATTTTTGCCATCTATTGGCTGTATCAACTGGGGCAAGTCGCTTTCTCTGGGTCTCGCTAAAATAGGGGTAGGGTAGCAGTAAGTTCTGGACAGGTGGTTCTGAGGTGTGTGTGAGATGTGACAGATGCAGAGGGCACAGGCCATTGGAAAGCTAGATACTGCCCACACTTAGTCTAGCTTGGTCCACACTGTTTCATTTTAAAATGAATAGCCAGAATTTAAAATTTAGATTTCACTTTAATACATAGATTTCAACCTGAGCCTTTCAGAGATTCTTGAATGAACTGGTCAGCACTGCCCCAGAGACAGAACAGGTGCTCCCCATGCCACAGTCCCCACCATGCCCGATTGTGGACATACCACCTGTCCCTGGCAGGCACTGGATCTGGGATTCCTACCTTCAAATGAGGAGCCATCCTCAGCAACCCTGCTAAGGCTGGGAGTAGGTTCCCAGTTCACAAAGGAACCAAGTATCAGAGAAAGTAAAGCTGTTGACCAAGTCACCCAAGCTAAGAAAGGCTGAACCCACAGATCTGACCCTGCTCAAGGCTCCACACTGTCCTCTGCCTGCTCCAGGTCTGAATGTTGCTGTTCTGGTTAGCTGGAGGGGCCTCGACCATGAGCCTCTGTGTCCTCCCCACCATGCCGCAGGTTAACTCAGCTCTTGAGTACCCTCAGGCCAGGTGCTAGTGGGATAGATCAGCTGATAGAGCAGCTGGTTTCCTGCTCTCCCATATTTGACCTTATATTTAGCAGAAAGAATCAGGAAGAGGCAGAGAACAAGCAATAGATATGATAGGTAAATTAACCTAATAGTGTGTTAATGCAAGTGTATGGGAAGAGGAAAGCGCAGAGTTAAATGTTTTAGGAGCGTGGCGTTGGGAAGGCAGGATGGAGTATGAACCAGTGTGGTCAGAGTAGGCCTGGTGGAGAAGGTGACATTTGAGCAGAAATTTAAAGGAGGTGAGGGCTGAGCCTTGCAGATACCAGGGGCAGAGCAATCCAGGCAGAGGGGACAGCTGGTGTGAAACCCCAAGATGGGGTTCCTGGTGCATCAACCATGGGTGAGATGCTATGTGGGGGGAGCAGAAAGACAGAGGCCAGACCTGCCAGCTTCTGGGCCCTTCACAGGGCTCTGGCTCTTACTCAGAGAAGTGTGGAGCAGAGGAGAACGTGGCCTGGCTTGGGTTGCCTTCAGTCTGTAGGAGCAGAGGGAGGGGCATGGAGGCTAGTGTGTCTGCCACTTTGGAGAGGAGGGGCTGAGCTGCCAGGTGACTGTCACCTCCTCCCAGGAAATCATGCATGCCCTGAAGATGACCTGGCATGTGCATTGCTTCACCTGTGCGGCCTGCAAGACACCCATTCGGAACAGGGCCTTCTACATGGAAGAGGGAGCGCCCTACTGCGAGCGAGGTAAGGGGGCATGGCCAGGTGAAAGGGGCGTGGTGAGGGCAGGAGAGAACCCAGTGCCCCCTTCCTCTCTGCCTCCATTCCCCCAGACTATGAGAAGATGTTTGGCACAAAATGCCGAGGCTGTGATTTCAAGATCGATGCTGGAGACCGCTTCCTGGAGGCGCTGGGCTTCAGCTGGCATGACACGTGCTTCGTATGTGCTGTGAGTGCCCCCTGGGACTCAGACCCCACCCCCAGTGCCCTGTGTTCTTCACCCATCACCCTGTACCACCTGCCTCTGGGATTCATGAGAGATTGGGGAGGAACCTCTCCTGCCAACCCCAACCCCATGTGACTAGACCTTGGCTGTCCCCAGATATGTCAGATCAATCTGGAAGGAAAGACTTTCTACTCCAAGAAGGACAAGCCCCTTTGCAAGAGCCATGCCTTCTCCCACGTGTGAGCCCCTCCAGTCTACTGCTGCCTGCCCACCTAGCCAGATGGGTCACTTTCTGAAGTCAGCGCCCCGGATTTTTGGGTAGGGTGGCTAAGGTCACTCCAACCCTGACTCCTGGCCCGAGCCTGGGGTTCCCTGGGCCCTATCCCACCCCCTTCACCTCCCCTCACTCCCTTCACCACCATCGCACACCGGTGCTGGCCACACCGGCCCCTTTTCACACCCAGTCACAATAAATTTGTATCCAGCTGTGTCCTGTGTGTGTGCCCTCTGTGCTTCAGGAGTGGTGGGGTTTGAGGCACATAGCAGGGTAGAGATTAAGTTGGTTTTCCTAGGGCTGACCATCCTGGAAATCCTTGTGATATGGACATGGAGGGTTCATGGTCAGCGGGAGATGAGGAAAGGGGCTCCTGTGTGCTGTGCCCAGACGCCTTCGGAAGTGGGGGAACCTGGTTTGGCCTGGTGTGGAGGTCAGAGGAGTTGGGGTATATCTGCAGAGATGGGACCTGGAGGTGCCAGCTGCCATCGGTCAGCTAGAGAACTGCAGAGGAAGGTGGGACTGGAGCGGGTGTCCTCCAGGTCCTGGGAGGCCACAGTGACAGTGGCAGGTTGAGGAGCTGGGCCAGGTGGGGATGGGGAGGTCAGGGCACAGAAAAGTTTGAAATAGTTAAGAAACCAGTTCAGACTTGTATTACAGAAAGAGGCTCAGTGGCTGTGAACAGGGTCAATAAAGGGAAGCCGCCTGAGAGGAGGAGTAGGGGCCAAGGGAAGGGAGCAGCAGAATGTGATGTGGCAGAGAGGGAACCAGGTAACAGGTCCCAGGGAGCCTAGGGTGGAGGCCCTGGGGGGATGAGGGGTGAGGGGAGGAAGGCAAGCAAATTTGCTAGGTGTCCGACATACCAGCCATTGCTTATGCTGTCTCACAATCCTCCCACCAGTCCTGTGAGGTATCTGCAGTTACTCTCATTTTACAAGGTCGCACAACCACTGAACCATGATCCAGGCTAGAAGCCAGGCCTGAAATTGGGTGCACTGTGCTGGGACTGGCTGGCACTGAGCACCGTTCACCAGCGAGGACCCCTCTGGGAAGCTCACTTCTGCCTGGTACCTAAATGCCTGTTGACTCTGGTGTGGGCCGCATCTCTTGCTTCTTACTGGTATCCTCCACCACTCTAGGGGAACTGTCATCTCTCCTGTCTCAAGCCCTGGATTGGAGAGGGCCAGGACAACTCAGCATGCTCGTGACCACCTGTCCTATGGGCACTCTGGCATGAACATCTGAAGTTGGCATTCTCAACAGGTTCTTGGGCCCATCCACTTTAAGAGAAGGGTCTGTCGTGTCTTCTTGAGGTGCAGCACTTCCTGTGTTTTCATGATGTCTTGCCAGAGCCTAGAACAGTGCCTGGCACATAGTGGCTGGCCAATAAATGTTTGGTGAGGTGCCTGTGGAACATTTAGGAGACACATTCAGGGAGCAGCTGAAGATTCAAGTCTGGATTCACCTTGATTCAATTCTGGAATGAGTTTGGGACAGGCAGTCCTCACAGATGCTTGTAACTGATGCCTAGGGAGGGCTGGGGAGCTGGACCAGGCAGGTTACCCAAGGAGGAAAACAGGTGGGATGTGGTTTTCTTTCAACCTAGACATCCCTAGCATATTAAACAGTATCTTTCACTTCCACAAAGAAATGTACTCTCTCCCACTTCTCTTGAACCGTGAAGCCCTCAGTCCACCCTTCGTTTCCATGGATACAAGAGAACAAGATCATAGGGGCAGATGTTGAGTGCTGCTGGGAGCCCTCTGGGGGCAGCCTCTCAGGGCAGCCACCCTCAGCCTCAAACAAGGGCTGCTGCATGGGAATGCCAAGCTGTGGCCAAATCTGCCAGTTTATCGACAGTATCCAGAGATTCAGACTTTTATGTGAAGTCCGTTTTTTTTTAATGTTGGCAACTAATTAGGTTTTTTTAAAAATCGTATTAAAAAAATAATAAACGTGGGTCAAATCTGGTGTCAGGGCAGCCAGGACCCCAACACAGAGTAGAGATGAGAGACCAGAAAGCACCAACATCACAGTGCTGGGCTAAGAAAGCTGGCGCCACCAGAGACCGAGGGCATCCAGAGAGCTGTGGGCTGGGTGGGTGGCCAGGCAGGGTAGCCAGGGCTTGGCGAGAGTGTTTTCAGAACAGTGTCAACCAGCCAGATAAGGCAGAGGAGTCCCTATGGCATTTCGCAACAAGGTAAAGTTTGCCAGATCAGTTTAGCAGAGAGCTGGGGTAGCCGCCAGGGTTAGAGGAACAAGGCGGTGGTGAGGATGTGGAAGGAGAGTGTGGACAAGAGAGTGCAGACAGCTCTCTTAGGAGGCTGGGGTGTGGTGGCCAGGAGGACTACTAGCAGCCACTCATGGTCAGCTGAGGGCTGAGAGGGGTAGAGGGAGGAAGCTGAGAGGTGTCTGCCAAGGCAAAGTGGCTGAAGGAGAAGTTGTTTGGGAGGTGGATATAAGGGGAGGGGAGGGTGAAAAGCAGAGCCGGGGACTGAACCTCGGAAAAGTGAAGCTGCTTAGGTGGAAGTAAAAACAAGCATGGGGCCACTGTTCCGAACAGTCACCTCTGCCAGGACCCACAGAGCAATCACTTATGTGTCATTTAACCATTGAAAAAGATGTCATGAAAGGCATTTTTCAGATGAGGGACCTGAGGCTCAGAGAGAGAGAGAAAGTGACCTGTCCAGAGCCACCTGGCCAGAATGTTCCGGGTCTGCTGCTCCAAGGATCAAAGGCTGAGGTGCTCCCCACTGCACCTCCCCACTCCCCCACTCCCACCCATAGCTGTAGTAGTCACAGTGTTCCAAACCTGGGGTGCGAGCTGTGTGGGTAGAATCCATGGTGACTGGGAAATGTCCTTCTGTCAAGCCACAGAGGCCATTGGTGCCCTTGGAGAGTGCAGTCTCTCCAGCTGAGGGGGCAGAGCCCATGGCAGGGGGCTGAGTAGGCAACTGGAGAGGCAGTGGGCAAGAGGGGCTTTTTCCAGTACAAAGCAGCTGGAGCTCATTTGAAGTCAGCAGGGAGAGAGGCCGTGGAGGGTGAGGAACTATTTCACCAGAGTACAGAGACTAGAGACAGGAACTGATGACTAGTGCTGCCTCCTCAATGCTGGGGCCCGCACGCCCTTGGAACACACACTAGGTACACACGACCCTGTGGCCCCCTCCATGCAGTCCTGCTACAGGAAGGAAGCAGAGGCCGGCCCCACAGCACACAGGGAGTAGAAAGCTGGGCTTGGGTTCCTACCCAAGTGGGTCCAAAGCCGCCCCCAAGAATGGAGGTCGGGCCCCTCCCCAATTGAGGCCTAAAGGCGGGAGGCAGGGTTCCAGGGGCCCTGGTGGGACAAGGAACAGCTTGCTGGGGGCCGGGGGAGAACTCAGGGAGCCGGAGCCAGCCCTGGGAGGTCATGCAGTGGGGTCACTACAGAGTGGTCAGGGAGAGCCCTAAGACCAGCCTGGGTCTCCTACTCAAGGCATAAGGGGCTAGGTCAACTCACCTTTCACCCATTTCCCTTGCCGCTGACAAAAATGACCACTATTTGAGGATAAAGTAGATCAGGAAAGATTCTTTCAGCTGCAATTCAGATTAGCTTAAGCAGAAACAAGGTGAATTTGTTTCATTTAACTAAAAAGGTTAATGACTTCAGATATGGTGGCGGGATGTTACCTTGTTATCAGGACTCTTTCTTTCTCCATCTCTCAGCTCTGCTTTTCTCAGCGCTGACTTTATTTTCAGGCAAAGACACTGCTCAGCCAGCTCCAGGCCACATCCTGCCAGCTCAGCAGCCTTTCCTTAATGATTCCAGCAAAAATCCTGGGGCCAATGACCATTGGACTGACTTGGGTCATGTGTCCATACCTGTGGCAGTCACTGGTTCTGACCCACAGACCTGGATCACACACTGCCCTCTGGAGCCTATAGTGGAAAATCAGCCTGAAGACAGGGACAGGGACTAAGGAGGAGGCTGTTTAATGACATGACAATTGCTGGACCCTCCAGCTAGATCTAGCTACATCCAGGCCAGAAAACATACTGCTTCCTGAAAACCCCGTCAGAGACTTTCTGACCAACCCTTCTCCTATGCCCCACCTCGTGCTGGTTCCTGCTCATTGCTGGAACAGCCCATTGCCCCACCTGGGCAAGTATGTACAGTGTTTTCTCCTTATCTGGGGCGATCATGCCCCAGTACCCCTATCCATCCTACCCTGTCCTATGTAATCCCTTAGTGCCTTCCACGTGGCTGGAAGGACATCCATCTTATCTTGCCGCCACCCAAGATGCGCCTCTTATGTAACTTCCCTTAATAAACTCTTGATATAATGCTGGAGTTGTCAGCCTTTTTCTTCAGTCTCAGCCCCAGGAACTTTTACATAACAGGAATGTCTGACCATGGATGTCTAC